CGCGCCATTTGTAATAGCTTTAGATTTACTTTTCCCTCAAATATTAACTGTTAAATAAGCATGCAAGAATGAATGGCCCTAATTAAAATCAAGCGTAGATCACAATGAACATGACAAGACAAATATCAATGAAAACGACACACGAATCGCACACACCACCCCTAGGGTACGCCTCACTGTTGCCTTGCCTCGAAAGGTGATCGTCGAGTAGAGGATGTCTTAGTAAGTCCTCATGATCCGGGAACCTGGCATGAGGGTAGCTTCTAAGGTGTCTTCCCATTGCTCTGGTGATCACCATGTCCCGAACCTCGAATTGACCCGAACACCTCCAACGGTGGTGCTACCTACCTCTCAATAGTGGGATGGCACTACTTTAAAGGACATTTACACAGACGAATTCCTTAGGGTAGGTAGGTTCTCGTAGATACTTGCTCTCTTCAAAAACAAACAAAAATCTTTTCACACCGACGCTTTTCAAAAGCTTTCAAAGCAGTTTTTCAAACACTCTGACACAAGAGTCGATCTGAAACTTTCAAAGAAACTTTTTTAAAACCCACATTGAAAAGCAAACAAACCATTTTGAAAACACGATGAGCAAGTATCTAAGAGCCCATGGATAACCATGGATAGAAAGGGTGCTAACACCTTCCCTTTCTATAACCTACCTCCCGAACCGAGAGCAATCTCTATAAGGAATTTTTCTGTGCTTTTGTCCTTTCCATTTGGAGAAAATAAAAGACGGTGGCGACCCTTGCTTCCGCGACATTTCGCGAACCAGCGTTAAACAGTCAGTTCCAGATCCACCGATCACAATAAGAATGTACAGGAAATGTAAAATGCTTATTTATTTAAGAAAAGAAATAAGTTTTGTTTAAGAAAATATTTTTTGTCTTTTTATGTTAAAAGAAAAATATAATATGTGAATATGAAATATTTTTGGTATTTTTGTTTAACGAAAAATAAAGATGATGGCAAAATAATAAAAGAGAAAGAAGACAGAACCAGTGAAAAAGCTGAAAATAGAAGGAGTCAGACGTTATGACTCTGACTTACTGCATGAACAAAAACAACGTTAGTAGGAATATGGAAGTTCAAAAGTTCTGGATCTTTTGAGACCTCAGCAGTTTTCAGAAGTTCTGATGAAACGGTAAGAACTTTGTCTCTCTCCTTGCTAGTCAGAACATCTGCAGCTTAGTCATTTCTTAACAGAACAGAAGTTGCATACATGACATTTATGACAAGTTTCAAGAAATATCATAAACACAAATCAGAAGCAACATGAATTTGCTAATCCTAATTCTGAGTCCTAATTTCTTTCTGAAACTTTGAACTGGAATTCCCTCTATTTAGGTAGGAAGATGCATGAAATCTCAGAATATGTACACCATCAGAATCAGAATATCTACATTGTGTTAAATACGAAAAAATCTGACAATGCCTACATAATATGATGAGAGCCATCAGACACTTACCTTGCAGTAGGAAATAATTTGGGAGCTGGAATTTGGTTCTGACCACTTGTGGTGTTCTGAACAGCTTCCTCACGTTTTCAACAGGTTGGAAACTTTCAGCTTGGATTTTCAATGATTAGAAGATTCTGGAACAACCAAGGGGTAAAGTTCTGATCCTTTTGAAGTGTATATTGGTGGAGAATGTGTTACTGTTTGATTACAGAATTTTTGATGGCTTTTGAATATATATTAGGAACTGTATGGGTGGTTTTGTTCAGAAAAAAACTTGAGAAAAATGGAGCTTTAATGCAAGAATCAAATGCTAAGGTTTTGTATTTTTTTTGTGTTTGCAATATTTTTGGATTCTTGGAATTTTACAGGGGGTTCAAGGCTTTTCTTTCTCAAATTCCACACCTTTCTCTCAAATTTCTCTGACCTCTTTTCAATGGCTAATGGTGTTCTATTTATAGGCAGAGGTTTTTCCAGTTGGAGATGTCAAGTGGCACCAACATCATACGCTAGATGCTGACTTACTCTTGAAGTAAGCTTAAACAAGTGGTTCAATGCATCAAGTTGGATGGTTAACAGCGCCTAAGCTGGATTTGGCAGCATGAATTAAGGGAAAGTAGAAGCAGCGCATGGTCCTAGCATACTTTTGCACAACAACTGGTCTTCCCAAGACAGTAGGGGTACACGTAGGGGAAATCCTTTGGATAGCAACTCACAAGTGGTTGTGAGCATTAAATGATGATCAGAAATCCTGCCATGTGAAACTCTGCGTCCTTGCTTAACTCTGGATTAGAAGTTCTGCTTCAGCGTAGCATCTCATCTTCTGAGCCTCTTATCTTCTGGGTCTAGCATGTTCTGAAGGAGCTTTCAGACTTTTTGGAAAACTTGCAGCACGCTTTTTAATCTTCTTTGATTTACTCTGGAAAACTCTGACTGAAGCTTTTGTGAAAACTTACCCAGAAGTTCTGACCAAACTCTGTCTTGAGAATATCCAGAATTTGCTGAGTGCTTTAGTGATAATCTGGTCAGAAGTTCTGAAATTATCATAATCCTTAAATACTTAGAAAAAATTCTAAGTACTTTAGAATTTGACTTTTCCAAAGTAAAAATTTGACTTTTAAATTTCCTGATGAAACAGACTTCATATTCCAACATGTCTTGATGAAATATGATTTTTTTGAGATTTGATTTTGATATAAAAGTCAAAGTTAGACTTCTCAGTGTGCAAATGACCATTTTGCCCTTGTGAATGATTTGCTTGGAAAAATATGCAGTTCAAGGCCTGGAAACTTGATAGAAGCAAACTTGGGATCCAGGGTGATCCCTTGTGAAATGAGAGGGCAAATTTTGGGGTACAACAACTATCTAAAGGAAAAAGACGACAAGAACAAAGATCTTTCGAGTAGGTAGACAGCTTGTAGTTGCTTTCTCACAAAACAAAACAAATTTCCCACACATACACTCCCTTCTTTAAATATTTTTCAAAGACAAAAAACACTTAGTATGCATTCTCAACAATACGAGAATCATTACAAAGTTCGCCGCAGTAAGGCGTCTTTTCAAAATATTTTTAAATACACTTACACAAAAAAGAAGCATTTTCAAAATGAGCTAGAAACTAAGAGACCGTAGATAACTACAGATAGAAAGGGTGCTAACACCTTCCCTTTCCATAACCTACCCCCTTACTCTGGAAAATTCTTGAAAGGTCTTTCTTGTTCTTTTCACCCTTTCCTTTATTAGATAAAAGAAAAGTTGGTGGCGACTCTTGCTATCCGCGACATTTGCAATAAAATGCAAAACCACTAAAGTCAATTCTCCCATCGTATTACAGTGGTCATATGAACACGTAACATAATTGGCCAAGTGGTAATAGTGATGACTGGTATTGCAAAGGGCGCGGGTTCGATCCCAGCTTTTGTTAATTTCTATTGTTTTTCAGGATAACACGCAAGTTCATTATATGTTGATTGGTTCATATTCTCAATCACAAATGCAGTACATGACCTAGTGGAATGCAGCGCGTCCTTTGAGGTTGAGGGCGTGGGTTCAACTCCCACCGCATGCATTTTTTTGGTTGTATTTTACTAAGCCTAATTCTTATTCCATTTTCTTAATTAATCTATTTTCTAATTAACCATTAACAAACCTTAAACTTTTTTAAAATCATAACAAATTAGGATTAGGTTTTTTTTAGTTAGTAATTAAATTTTGACATATTTTTATTTATTAATTAATTAGATTTTTCTAAATATTAAAATTAATTAGAAATAATTAAGTTTTAATTATTATTTATTAACCTAAAGTTTTTTCTACAAAAACACCAAAAATATCTTTTCTAACACAAAAGTTTTAGGTCTTTAAAATATTTTTCTAACATTATTTTATTTATATTTTTCCATTTATTTTCTTAGACAAAATGTATAGGCTTGCACTCTCAAATGTAATAGCGTAGATTTACATTCCCGCATCTTTCTAATTATTTAACTGCTTACAGGATGTAATAGCTTAGGTTTAATTTTCCGCACTTTACATTCTGCGCATTATATTTTTAACTGTTAGTAATTAGGGTTTGTATAGAAAGACTAACAGTTGGACATAGAAAACCTAATTTTCAAGATAAGATAACTGAAAACAAACACTTTCACACTATGCACCTCTAGGGTAACCTCTCTTTTTGCCTTACGATACATTGGTCATCATGGCCCCTTTCGAATAAAGATCATAATCTCTCAATGACCCTACGAGTTGCCTACAAAATGATCTAGCCCTTTCGATAACCCTACGATCAAAATGATGATAGTCCATTTGATACAATTGCTAAAGTATCCCTACATGTTTGTCCCTTCATATCCAATAGATAAGATTACCTACCAACTATTGTTATGGATGATACTATCTCCAAAGGAGAAGAAAAATAACAAGAAAGACTTTAGTGGGTAAGAACTCTTAAATGCTTGCTCATAACCTTTTTCACAAACAAATACATTTTTACACCACTTTTAAAACAAATATTTTCAAAAACACATTGTATACATTCTTGAGGACCGACACAAAGATTATTACAAAGTTAGCCTTATATTGGCATTTTAAAATATTTTCAAACAAATCACACACACACACAAAGCAATTTTTTAAAGTGAACTAAGCAATTAAGCGCCCGTAGATAACTACGGATGAAAAGGGTGCTAACATAAAAGTCGGTGGCGACTCTTGCTAACCGCAACAATTTCTAACCACAACATTTGCGATTAGTCGGTGGCGACTCTTGCTAACCGCAACATTTACGATAAAACAAAAAAGTCAGATCTCCCACCGTATTACACCAAGAAATAGAAATAAAGGAAAAATCAAGGAAACTTCCTGCAGCGGCTCTATGGCCAGAAGTTGGTGGTGTTAACTGGAGGTTTTGCGGCCGCGATGGCTCTACTCCCTTCATGCAGTTGTGGCTGCAATTTATGGGTGGTTGAGTCGGTTCGTCGGTGCGGCTTTGACAGGCAGAAGGGCTGGTACTCGTGCGGTGTTTGAGCTTGCAATCACATGGAGCATGGTGGTGGTGTTGTTATTGGGTTGTTGATGGAGCCATTGTGGAATGACTTATGCGGTCCTCGCGATGACGTTAAGATCTCGCGGAGGAGTTGTTGTGGCTTCACGATGTGAGTAGTTGTATCAGTTGGAGAGTTACACAGAGTTCGTGATGGTGAGCATGGCATCACGGTGGGATGATGGGTTGTCCATCGAAGATGAGAATTATGGGATCAAAGATTTGCAATAGTGCGATCTGGAGGTGTACGGGAACGGTTGAGGTGCAATTCTGCAGAGGTTTCAGTCGTGTGGAGGCTGTCCAGTGAAGGTTGTTGTTGTGCTCGCGGCAAGCTATAAACAGCGTCGGAATCGCGACGGAGGGAAGACTCAGATCCGCGATACGGTTTCACCCGGAGGATGGTCAACCGATTCTAGATTCGTGTACAGGGCGTCGATATTTGTCAATTCTTCTTCTTTAATTTGCTTCTTTTTGTCAACAACAACCTTCAAAAGAGTTTAAAATCATAGAAAGAGAAAGATGTTGTGTTGAATAAGATTTATTTTATAGTGATGATTTTGTTTATAGTTTAGAAAAGATCAGATTTGAAGTTTAAAAATAAAATAAAATTTGATGATGATGAGTGTGGAAACAAAAGGGTGATGGTGTGAAGTTACTGTGCGATTATTGTTGCTGGTGTAATTCTATAGCAGGTTTAATGTTTGTGAAGTGTATGGTTCATTGGAATTGTTTAAAGGCATGAGAATAGTTAGATAAAACAGTTAATAAAAATCAGTAGATATTAGTATAGTGTAGGTATAAATGAAATTAGTAAATAATTTAATATCGAAAATGAGTTAGTAAAAATTTGTTAGATGATAAAATTGTTAAAATACAAGTAAAGGAAACATAGGAAATATATGCAAGAAATAGTATACGGATCAATAAAACAAATCAAACCACCAGATCATTACCATTGTACGAGGAAAAATTGAAAATAAAAAGGAAGGCCTCATATAAAATCATCGATCATTTGTTGGTTATTGTCTGATATAGACAACAAGAGGGTTTCGGGGTTTCTGTTTAGAAACCCTGTAATAAACCAAAACAAAAGTTTGTATGACATTGTGGGTTTTTGAATTGTTGGTAAAATTGTCAATTTGTGTGAAATTATTGATGAATTATGGATGAAAAATTAGGACAATAATGAGTCCTATTTATAGACTTAGAATTAAGTTAAAAATACTTAGCAAGTAAGTCAGGCCAAAAACCAAAGAACCCGGAACCTCATACTTGCAAGCTTTATTCTTTACCAATTGTGTTGTGTTACTGATTTTGTAAATAAACTCAATTGAAAGTATATGAAAGTTGTACAGATATTTGCTATTTTAAAAATACAAATAATTTGAAATAAATTATTATATTTTAACTAGACTTGAGAACGAATATTTATAAAACTCCAAAATATTAAAGTAAAGCAAAAGAATTTTATAAAAATCCGAATTTGAAATTAATTTTGACCTTAGTGATAAAGGGAGGGAAATTTTGGGGTATGACAGTTGCCCATATTTAATCACTCTTCGATTGAATGGTGCGAGAATGTGTAGGTCTCGCATATTCGAATCGGAGATTTATTAAATAATAGAAGACCCCAAAATTTGACCAAAGGTTGGCTAGATAAGAATACGCTATACAGCGTTCCCCCAAGAGTTTTGAAAAAAATAGGCAAAGATGATAACGTATCACCTTACCAGAATTTGAACAAAAGTATATAGGCAAGGATGATGATGTATCATCCTACCAGAGTTTGAGTATAAAGTAAAAATTGAAGAGTAAGATTGATCCAGATATGACGATGCATATAACTCGTCTATAGCTAGAAAAAGAGATCGTAGTTTTTGTGTATTTACCATAACCTAGGAGGTAAACAACATAAGTTGAAAGATTGATAGCTTATTACTGCATGAAGACTGATGCAACAAGCTACACCGAATTAATATATTAGTTTGAAATTTGACTCACTAATGCTTTGAGACTAACATAGTAAGCTAATGACGCGGATTTTGCATATTCATCACAACCTAGAAGACGAATAAAACAAAGTTTGATAACACATTGCTGCATGGAGACTGATGCAATGGATTACACAGATTTCGTTATGTTTATTATAACCTAGGGAGTAAACAGTACGAGGATGAACATGTGCCTTTATCACAACCTAGTGGATAAAAGACAACAGGGGTGAGCTTACGTTATTCATCATAACCATGGGATGAATAATATAACCTTGAAAATTCGCATCTCTATTACAAACTAGAGGATAGATATTTGAAGATGTTATTCTTTCACCTACTGCAACCTAGGGGGTAGATGATTGAAAAAGCTTGATAACAACATCGCTGCATGGAGACTGACGCAATGAGTTATACCGTAGATTTTGTCCTATTTACTACAACCTAGGGAGTAAATAGTACGAGGAGGAACCTGTGTATTTATCACAACCTAGGGGATAAAAGACAACATGGGTGAGCTTACATTATTCATCACAACCTAGGGTATGAATAATGTAACCCTGAAAATTTGCATACCTATCACAATCTAGGGGTAGATATTGGAAAAGCTTGATAACAACATCGCTGCATGGAGACTAACGCAATGAGTTATATTGCAGATTTTGTCCTGTTTACTACAACCTAGAGAGTAAACAGTACGAGGAGGAACCTGTGTATTTATCACAACCTAGAGCATAAAAGACAACAAGGGAGGGCTTACGTTATTCAGCACAACCTAGGGGGCGAATAAAATATACCCTGAAAATTTGCATACCTATCACAACCTAGGGGGTAGATATTTGAAAATCTTGATAACATCATCGCTGGATGGAGATTGACGCAATGAGTTATATCGTAGACTTCGTCATGTTTACTATAACATAGGGAGTAAACAGTATGAGGGTGAACCTGTGTATTTATCACAGCCTAGGGGATAAAAGACGACAGGGGTGGGCTTACGTTATTCATCACAACCTAGGGGATGAATAATATAACCCTGAAAATTCGCATACCTATCACAACCTAGGGGATAGGTAATTGAAAAAGCTTGATAACAACATCACTGCATGGAGACTGACACAATGAGTTATATTGCCGACTTCGTTATGTTTACTACAAACTAGAGAGTAAACAGTACGAGGATGAATTTACATATTCATTGCAACCTAGGGAATGAATAATATGAATCCGACAATTCACACATATACCACAACCTATGGGGTAGATGATTGAAAAATCTTGATAACACATCGCTGCATGGAGACTAATGCAATGAGTTATATCGTAGATAAAAAATCTGTTTTTGATTATCAAATCTTAGATAACTAAATCAAAGTGAGATCAGATTTTTACCGGTTTTCTCTGTTCTCAACCAAGGTAATTGTTTGTTTTTATAATCTGATGGAGGGCCCAAAGGTATTGGTTTCTCCCATAGTATGTTTGGAAAAAATGCCATGTATGATGTATATGCATAATGTCCTAGATTGATATGGAGCCCATAATGTATATACACTGAGTATTGTCTATACCCCAAATATTTACATATGTACCAAATATGTGTATATGCCCCAAAAATGTTTTTGATATTTCCTCCTCTTAAACCAATGGTTTTGTATTACCAACTCCCTGATATTGCGTTGTTTGTGGTATCTTTGAATTGATTTGAACATGGTGAAAAGTGTCTGCAGGATCTTGATATTTGTATCGTAGCCGCAGGTGTAGGCGTGGACGTAGTCGTAGCCCTCTTTCGACATTTTTTCTAACAAAAATAAACTTTGATGTTTTATCAAATGTTCTTTGGTGTTTCTGTATGTTAGATGCATCAAATGTTATGAATGACCTTGATACTTTGATATGGTTATGTGTACGTCATACTTGATTTAAGGCTCTTAACGGTAAATCTACTGTCAATATTTCCAAGGAATCTACTGCTAAGATTCGCTTAAGAAACTTCCTTCTACCGAGGTGTAATATGGTGGGAGAACTGACTTGGGTGTTTTGCATTTTATCACAAATGTTGCGGATAGAAAGAGTCGCCACCTACTTTTCTTTTATCCAATAAAGGAAAGGGTGAAAAGAACATGAAAGACCTTTTGAGAATTTTCTTGACTTCGGGGGGTAGGTTATGAAAAGGGAAGGTGTTAGCATCCTTTTCATCTGTAGTTATCTACGGGCTCTTAGTTGCTAGATCACTTTTAAAATGCTTTTGTGAATGTTTTTATTTGAAAATATTTTGAAAAAGTGTCTTCATTGGGAAAACTTTGTAATGATTCTCGTCTCTATAAGAATGCATACAAAGTGTTGACTTTGAAAATATTTCAAGAAAGTGTTGGTGTGCTGAAAGATGTTTGTTTTGAAATGTTTGTGAGCAAGCAACTACGAGCATTCTACCTACTCAAAAGAAAGTCTTTGTTCTTTTCCTCCTCCTCTAGGTAGTGTTATTCTACCATTAGTTAGTAGAAAGCCTTATCATTGGATGTGAGTGATAAACGTGGGTTATCGTACAGTCATAGAAAGCAACAGGGATGACGCTTTAGTAATTGTTTTAAGGGTCTAAGATCGTTTAAAGAAAGCAACATCGAAGGGTCATCAAGGGACTACAATCTTTTAATCGAGGGTCTTTGCTAAATTATCCCATGTTCAAGGGACATGACTGTTTATATCTGTGGCAAAAAATATGGGTTACCCTAGAGGTGCATGTGTGAAAAGTGTGTTTGATTCAAATATTTTATCTTGAATTAGGGTTGTCTAATGTTGGTTTTAAATCTTGCCATACAAACCCTAAAGTGATAAATTGTGGAATTTAAATGTCCTACGCTATTACAGATCTTTGGGAATGGGGGGGTACAAACTTCTGAATGGGGAGGAAAGCGATAAACCCTAATTAAAGAATTATAATCCATAAGAAATTACATAATTAATGTGAAAAATAAACGCGCGAAGGTGGTGGAAAGGGGAAAAATGTTTTGAGAAACCCTAAAATATTTCCAAGTGTTAAAAAGAAATGTTTTGTTGTTTCTTTGTTTAGAAGAGAAAATTTGAAATGTAAAATAAAATGTTAGACCTAACTCTAGTACAATTTACAATTTAAAAATGAAATAAGGTGTGATTGAATTAATCAATTTTATGAAAAATTAAATTAAAAAAATCTAAAGAATTTTAAGTATTTAGAAAATATTTTTGGTGTTTTGTTTATAAAATGTTTTATGGTGTTAGGTCATCTCCTAGCAATACAAAATGTCCAATGTGCCCTTAATGATCCAATCTTACACGGGTTCCTTCTAATTCCTAGATGAATCTTTACACGAGCTCATCATGAAGCAATCTTACACGGGTTCCTTCTAATTTCCAAATGAAGTTTCACACTGACTCATCCTGAAGCATCCCTACACAGGCTCCTTCTCATGTATTTCCAGATGCAGCTTCACACAGGCTCATCATGAAGCAATCTTACACGGGTTCCTTCTAATT